TTTGTTTTAATTTTAACTATTTTTATTAGGTTTAAAATTAAATTTATATAATAAAAGTGTATAATATTAATATATAACACGATTGAAAAAACTTTGTTTGTCGAATCTGAACATAAAATATTTCATGTTAACAAACGGCAATGCGGATGATTTTCATAAAACAAATTGATTTGCTGGCAAATAAATATTTTTTCATTGTTTCATCAATGTGAACACCAAAAGTCAAATAATTTACATCATTTTGGCAAAATAATTATTTGATCTTGCAAACCAAATGTAAGATCAAACAGCGTCAAATAACAGCTGTTCTTTGTTTATTTTCTGAAAAAGAGTGTTATCACCTCATACAAAAATGTAAATGACTGGTTTTATTTTATTTTTTATAAAATAGATATCTGAGACAAAGTAGTTGTGACATTTAATAGAAATTTAAGCAATTGCCTAAATTAAAGATAATTATTATTTTTGTTGTTTATTTTGTTATTAATTGGTTGACAACAACATACTATATATAGGGTAATTTAAAAAATTTTCGAACAAAAAAGTAGGATTTTGAATTTTTTTCAACAAGTATTAAATTTGACGTATATCCTCTTAATTATTTATCCGATTTTAATCGTTTAGTCCCCAATATTTTATTTAAAATATTACATTTTTATCGTGAGGATGATGACATCAAACAATGTCCTTTAGTCAAGGATATCTCAAAAAATTTACCTTCCATTTTCTTTATTCCTTCACATAAGATTGCTTATTGTGTACTCAACAATATATAATATATAGAAATTTTGGAGAATTTCAAATTCCGTATTTACATGAAGAATGTGTGTACCGAATTTCATCGAAATCGGAAAGGCTAAAATACAAAACCTGTTTATATTCTAGTCTATAGTCCATTTTGTAGTCTAACGTAATCAGTGGAAAATTCAGACCACATTTTAATATTTTTTTTTTTTTTACTTTAAAGTATTCAGACTACCAACACATATCGCTTGAGTGGTATTCCTACATAGTATTCATGATAAACCAGCCATTGTTGCTCGACAATCGGTGGATTAACATTGGAATTTCTTTATTATTTGTTTTTTTAAATGTGTTATATAAATAAAAGGTTCTCAATTTCATTTGAATTTTCTTAATTTTATTTAAAATTTTCTCAATTTCATTTGAAACTTTTCCAATTTTTATTGGAGTTTTCTCAATTTAAATTTCAAAATTCTCTGTATGGGGAGGTTGAAGCCCCCACATGAATCAAATAGAAAAATTCGTATATCTGAGAAACTATTAGAGCTAGAATCTTCAAATTTTACATGAAGAACTTTGAAATTCATGTGAACATTTAGAGCATTAGGGGCGGACTTTCAATGGATGGCTTGGCACAACATATATAAATTAAATACAAAACTTCGTGCATCTTGGAAATTCTTCTATTATTCAAATTTTTTATAGATAGATAGAAATTGGCGATATATAGAAACTGGCAAACTCGCAATAGTTTGCTTGACATCTCTCATATGTAACGTATTATAAATCTGGAAAACTATTGTGGTTAGAATCTTTAAAATCGTTAAGTTGGATTTTTATTTATACATATTCCTTCTAGGGTAGCAAAGCACACTGGGTATAGCTAGTATATTAATAATAAACAATTCTCAATAATTTTAAATTTTATAGATAATTTAATGAAAATAATTTATAATTTGGTTATTTCCCGGCTTATAGCTATTTTTTTAATCGCTATAAACCGTTTCAAACAACCAAGGTTTTTCGCTACATTGACTATACTAAATAGCAACAACATGACAGTGCAGGTTCACCATCTGTCTCTTTTCCACTTGCACAAGGTATTGAAATGTAATTTGTATTTTTTTGTGATAAAATTTTGTTGAAAAACAATATTAAATGAAATTTTAGAATAAATTGATGTTATTATTCAATGATATATCTTTGTAGTAAATATAAACAGATATATTTTTGGCTTGGTTGCGCATTAACTGTTCTTCTTGTTATGTTCCTATTTGCCTACAAACAAAATTTTGTTTTTCACTGTTTTATCCGTCAATTGTTTTAAGAAATTATTTGTTGTAGTGTGAACATCGGGCAAACAAATTTTCACTATTTGTACTGAATTGTGTTTAGCATTGCTTCTTCAAACAAAACGTCAAAACAGAAATACTCATTTTAAGGACATTATGAAATAAAAACGTATTTATTTTTTTGTTTTTAGGCAGAAATTTCTATGAAATTGTAAAAAAACTATTGTAATTTAATTAAATAATTTTGTTAACGTTAAACAAAAATGTTTCGTGTTTGGTGTTCACATTGTGTTCATATTGGGAAAATATTTGTAGGTTGACAAATAAAAATGTTTCACGAAAAACAGCTGATATTTTGTTTGCTCTTCACAAATATTTTGTGTTCACATTACAGCCAACAAATATTTGATAAAAAACGTCAAATATTTCATAGGTGTGAACGAAGCTTTACTCTCCAGATATAAGAATTTATCCCTGTTGCAAAATCTCTCTTGCCTATGCACTTCTATGCGAAAGCTAATAGAATGCCTATTAGGCCTATAAGTAGCTTCATAGAATATCTACTATTAAATTCGATTAAAAAACATTTAAATTTAAGCCAAATAAGTAGTAAGTCAGCTGAAAGAAGTCTTTATCGAGTATTATAAGGGAGAATTTATACAACATAAAGCTGAAGGATGGACTTTTTATACTAAAGACAGCAAAATTTATTTATTTCTTATAGAGATAATATATACTATATACATATATCCCTGTTCCAAATGCCCATTCCTATCTAAAATGGAGTTATTTTAGTAAAGATATTTACTACGGAAAAACATAGTTACAAAAGATGAAAACACAGAAGATATGTTGAATTTTGGTTATTAAAATCTATGTCCAGTTTTGAATAAAAACTTATAGGTTTAGATTCTGTGCACTCTTGAGAATATTAATCTATTTTTGTTTTTGTTATCTGTCAGCTATAAAAACCAAAAAACAAATTTGGATAGTTTCATAAACAAATAATGATTTTTCGAATTCAATTGTTACAGCCCTATTGAAAATATTTTTAGCGGTTTGTACATTTCTGATTCCTCTTAAAAAATAACAATTAACAATTTCACTTCCAAATAACTATAAAAAATATATTATAAAAATTTATTCTTGAGAATGACTTCAGGAGTAATGAATTTGGAATCAAATAAAAGAGACATTCCGCCTATAAATAATCTGTGTTAAAATCATCACTTCTCTAGGTCTTTTCTTTTTTTTTTTTGCTGGGATATAGAGATATAGGTTGAATATTATTACAGGTTACAAAGGAATAGTGCTGGGCAGGTTCGACATTGTATACGACAAGGGGCACTGATGATTGCTGGAGGAATTGGCAGATTGTTAAACATAGGGAAATATCATATTGTAAGGAATGAATTTGTCATATTGTAAGTTTTGCATAGATTTTATGAACATTTATGTAGGGGATAATAAATCGAAAGAAGAAATGTTCCTTAATTTTGCTTTTAAAAAAATCAAATATTTTTGAAAAATATGTTGCATAAATAATTTAAGAACTTAGATTTTAAACTTCATTCAGAATTTTAACCAAAATTTATCACATTTTCTAAAAGAATACGTTGATCAAAGCAAGTTTTACACTTTGATAGCAATAGGAATATTTTTTTCAGACATTTGAACTTTAAAAGTAGGGATTTATTTTGCAACATAAGTATGCAATCTTTCCTTCAATGGTTCCAGTCGAATTTCGGCCTCTGGGCGAACTCTAGTTTATATAAAAATACAACGAGGTCTTATCAGAGATTCACAATACTTTCGGCTATTTTTGTAGATAAATTGACAGAATATGTTTTTACATAGGTATAAAACACATGAAATTTACCATGAAGGGCCTTGATTAGGTAAGAACCTATAAAATGGTACTTTTTCGTTCTACAAAAGGTGCTTTTTGAATTTTCTATAATATCGAACCTGGAAACATGAAATTAAGTTTGTAGGGCCCGGATTAGGCGAGAACCTATAAAAGGGGACTTTTTGGTACTTTTTCGTTCTACAAAAGGTATTTTTTGAAATTTCTATAATATTGAACCTAGAAACATGAAATTAAGTATGTAGAGCCCGGATTAGGTCAGAACACATAAAAGGGTACTTTTTGGTACTTTTTCGTTCTACAAAAGGTACTTTTTGAATTTTCTATAACGTTAAACCTAGAAACATGAAATTTAGCATGTAGGGCCTTGGCTAGGTAAGAACCTACAAAAGGGGAATTTTTGGTACTTTTTCGTTCCAAAAAAGGTACTTTTTGTGTTTTCTGTAATATTGAACCGAGAAACATGAAATTTAGGGCATTGACTAGGTAAAAACCTATAAAATGGGACTTTTTGGTACTTTTTCTTTAAAATCCATTTTTTGAATCTTCAAAGTTTTTTAAATTCACAAAAATTTAATATATTCAATGTTATTTAATTTATATAATTTGTTTAAAAACAGTGTATTTAAGTTTTAAACAACATTATGTTTCATGGTTTTTATAATATTTAGACAATATTCTTCCTAAATTAATATTTTAAATTTCAAAATAACCAAATTTTAAAATTTTTCTGAGCTTTTCTCTAACAAGTAAAAGTTCCTGCTTTAGTTTTATCCGACATTGTATGTATGTCTGAAAAAATTTATTGGTGAAAAATTTTTGCACATAATTTTGAACCTGAGTGTTGTATTGATTTTGCTAATTTTCAATACCAAACAGCTTAGGATAATAATGAATATTTTGGGTGAATTTTATTAATGTGCATTGCAGGATTTCATAGGGACCAAGAATTTGTTGGGTCTCAGATAAGTATTTTTCAGTATTACATATGGAATAACAATCCTGTGGTGGAGGGTAAAAAAGTTTATGTCTATTTACAATATAAATTTTAATTTATTTTATACTTTAAAATAAACAATTACATCGTTTTGCTCTTCATATTCGACCGTCATTTTTAAAATTGGCGAAGTTTCCTTTTTTGAAGTTTCCGTTCTAGGTTAGGCTTTTTAATATAAAGTTCTTGTTTAGCACTTTTATATTATTTACTCATTATTGCTGCACTTTACAGATTTAAATTTCTCTTTTTTGATATTTTTATTAGTTATTATTTTTATTAGTTATTATTTAGTTGCTCTTACTGAATTAAAGTTTATATACAACATAACAACAATTTTATTAAATTTCAGTAAACGTTGAAGTTGCATGTGGGCACAGCAGAACTAAAATTTAAAATAATAGCTGTTTATTAACTGTGTTTATTTAATTTAGGAAGATGCTATAAAACAATTTGAATTAAAAATATGTTATTATGAAAATTTGTTTTTATAGAGTTACCACATTACATTACTATTTATCACATAAGTCAAAAATTTAAATTATTTTGGTATATTTTATTTGTTTTTGGAATTTCACAGCACATACTAAATTACATATATTTTTATAATTAGTGAGTTTTCCGCTGGCAACCTTCTCTTACGAATATTTATGTTTTTATTTGTATAAGTAGACTATTTGACAATGTTTATAAATGTTGCGATTTTCCTTTTAGTTTCGAAAGCTGGCATTCATTTTAGTTCAGCTTTTTGCCAATAGCTAATTACTTGGCTGATTCCAGTTAATATGTTTCTAAATCATAGCTCTGTAATGAAAAGAGAAATTCATTGATTATTTTACTTATTCCGGAAACCTAATAGTAGTTAATATAAGTTTTGTTATTTTATGTATACGTAATACATACGTAATGTATATAATAATATATAATATAAGAGTTTGTACTAGGGTGATCGATTATTCGACATTTTCCAAAAACCGGTTTTCAAATATTTGACATTAAAAAAAAACGGTTGATATTTTTCAAATTCAGAAAAAACCGTTTAACCGGTTTTTCATTATAAATAAAAAAAATATATTTTAATTTGAAAAACTTAATGTTTATGTTTAAATTTGATTAATAAAACATGGCCCAAAATGATTTTTAACAGTTTAAAAGATTATAACTTTAGATCTAGTCGTCTGATTTACATTATTTCTTTAATATAAAAAAATTAGGAAAAAAGTGGGACACTTCTGTTAAACATAAGGTACTATGTAATCCTAGCTTATTTTAAAAGCCCTGTTTACTAACTTAAAGCCCTGTTTAGGCATTCCAACACTTCCATAAAATTTCAGCCGTAAATTAATTATTGTAATTGGAATATTATCTTAAGATTGATAAAATTTTATCAAACAGTTATCAATTTTACAAATATTTTTTTTTAATTAATTAGGAAAATCAAAAAAGTTTAACCAAAGGAGCTGTAGAAAAATATACGCTAGTTCCTCGACTCGAATTTTTTTAAAATTTAGACGGGCTGTATTATTATTTACTTAAAATTTTCAATTAAAAAATCTTTGAATACAAAGCAAATAAAAGTATTCGAAACCGGTTTTTAAAAAGTGAAAAAACCGGGTTATTCGATATTCGAAAAATCAACATTAAGAAAAAACCGACACTGGTAAAGCAGTTTTTAAAAAGTGAAAAAACCGGGTTATTCGATATTCGAAAAATCAACATTAAGAAAAAACCGACACTGGTAAAGCAGAAAAAAATATAAATATATAATTATATAGGAGTATAGGTCAAACATGGGTCGATACTCATTCAATTTGGGAAAAGGATATATTTTTAAATAACAGTTAGTTATGTTGAGTTTCATTGCGATACAAATGGTTACAAGTCAATTTTAGACGTTTAAGAAATTTTTTGAAGGGGGTTTGTATGGGTGCTAGGGTCAAATAAGGGCCGATCATTACGAAAATCTGCAGTGTCGTTTATACTTATATAAAACATATTTGTGCCAATTTTTTTGAGAGATAATAGTATATTTGACGTAATTATGGCATAAAAGGCACAAATCGCGAGGTACGGTTGTATGGGGGCTAGGTGAAATAATGGACCGATTTCAACCATTTTCAATAGACTTCGTCCCAGTGCCAAAAAACATGTCTGGTCCAAATTTCATCAAGTTATCTGTACCTTGTACACAAAGTTTACATGGACAGCCAGTCAGCCAGCCGGACAGACGGATCGACTCAAAAAGTGATTCTGAATCGATCGGTATACTTTAAGGTGGGTGTAGGACCAATATTTTTGTGTGTTACAAACATCAGCACAAACGCATAATACCCTCCCCACTATAGTGGTGTAGGGTATAAAAATCAATGTATGTTTGTTTGATTGTTTGTTTGTACCTTATATGAGGCTAAACCACTGGAGCGATCTTCTTGAAACTTTCAGCGTATGTTCCCCTATATCTGGAAGGAACTATAGGCTACTTTTTATTTTGAAATTGCAAGTGGGAGGGGTGCCATGCCCACTTCCTCAAATTTTTTATGGACAATTTTGATATCCATATGATAATTTGGTGAAAAAATTTTAGGACTAGCAATAGGGGGCTTATCTGGGAAACTATAAGTGTTAGAATCTTTAAATTTTGCATGATCTTTAACATTCATGTAAACATTTTGGGTAATAAACTGGCGCACTATCAATAGGGGGACATTGCTCGTCCCATATGAATAAAATATACAAAAATTCGTTTATCTGGGAAACTATTAAAGCTAGCATCTTAAAATTTTGCACGAAGAACTTTAATATTCATATGAATATTTTGGGGAAAAAGGGCGAACTTTCATCAGGAGGCTTGGAACGCCCCATATGAATTAAATAGATAAATTCGTATATCTAAGAAACTGTTAGAGCTAAAATCCTTAAATTTTGCACAATCCTTAATTTGGCGTTGTCGTTTGTCTGGGAAACTAGACCTAAAATCTTCAAATTTTCCACGACGAAATTTAACATTTATTTGAACATGTTGAGGAAAATGGGCGGACCTTTATTAGATGGGGTTTGAACCTCCCATATGAATTAAATGTCTGGGGAAGTATTACAGCAAAAATACTTTGACTTCAATGTGAACATTTTGGTAATAAATTGGCGGACTAACAAATTGGAACATCCCATATGAATTAAATACAAAAATTTTACATGAAAAACTTTGAACATGAAAATGGGCGGACTTTCAATAGGACCTAGGTATCAAAATAGTCAGGCCATTTTCTTATACTTGATCAGATTTTTGTACGAACTGTCGGACATTTTATCAGTCATTTATCCGAGATCTATCCGACTTTCTTATAATTGATCAGACTTTTGTACGAACTGTTGGACATTTTATCCGACATCTATCAGACTTTCTTATATTTGATCAGACTTTCGTACGAAATGTCAGAATTTCCCCAGGAATTTAAATCAGATTTCGTACCGCATATATATATATATATATATATATAGCGGAGTCTGAAGACCCCAGATATCTGCGGGATCCAAATCTTCAATAATTCTGTCAGACATGCTTTCTAGAAGTTTTCTATTTAAAATCAGCAAAATTAATTAATAACGGAGATATATACAATAATACGAGACAACCTCTGTTGTTATCAAAAAAGCAACAACAACACAGCTTATTAGAGAAAAGGTGTATGTTGGTTTCATTACGTTGTGTATTTTATCAAATTTTATCAAAAAAGCAACAACAACACAGCTTATTGGAGAAATTGTGTATGGTGGTTTCATTGCGTTGTGCATTTTTTTTTTGTGTATTTTGTTTCGTATGTTTAGGTGCCGTTGGTTTCATTGCGCTGTGTATTTAGTTTTTATACCCTTCACCTTCGTGAGAAGGGTATATATAAGTTTGTCATTCCGTCTGTAATTTCCAAAATATAATTTTCCGACCTATAAAGTATATATATTCTGAATCCTTATAGATAGCGGAGTCGATTAAGCCATGTCCGTCTGTCCGTCTTTCTATTGAAATCAGTTTTCTAAAGACCACAGATATCTTCGGGATCCAAATATTCAATAATTCTATCAGACATGCTTTCGAGAAGTTTCCAATTTAAAATCAGCAAAAGCCGTCCACAAACAACGGAGATATAAGCAAAAACCCGGAGACAACTTCTGAAAATTTCATAAAAAAGAAAAATTTTTTTCATGCTTTGATATACAGTGGGACCTCGATTTTCCGTATGGTCGGTACCGGAAGCATTCTGTATAATCGATTTTCCCGGTTAATTGAGTGCTTATTTTAATTATTTTAATTAATAAATTAATATGAACACCTATATATATTTAAAAATGAATGTGTGTTTGTATGTTTGGACTTTATAGACAGCTAAACGGCTGAACCGATTTTTCTGAAATTTTCACAGTCTCTTCCTGTATATCTCAAAGGAACTATAGGCTGCATTTTACTTCAATATTTTAAGTCGGCGACGTGCCACGCCCACATACAAAATAAGTATTAAAAGTCGCATATCTCAGAAACTGCAAGAGCTACAGTCCTCAAATTTTGTATGCAAAACTTTGACATCCATGTGAACACATGAGAATAAAATGGGCAGCCTAGATACAGTGGGCGTGGCACCTCCCATATAAAGAAAATCTTAAATTGTATATCTGAGAAAATATAACAGCTAGAGTCCTCATTTTTTTTCGGAGGAACTTAAGTATCAAATTGAATGTTTAGGACAAAAATGGGCGAACTAGCAACTTTTACTCAGTCTTGGTACCTCCCATATGAATTAAGTGCAAAAATTCATGTATCTAGAAAGCTATTAGAGCTAGAATCCTCAATTTCGCACGAAGAACTCTGATATTCAATAGGGGCTTGGCAAATGACCAAGATCTGCAACGTGAAATGGGTTACAATCCACAAGATTTAGAGAATTTGGTGGCAGAAAATTTACAGCATCTACAACCAGAGCAGAGAATGGCATACCATACAATAATGTCAACAATTATAAACCAAAAAGGAGGACTTTATTTCATAGATGCGCCAGGAGGAACCGGAAAAACCTTTCTAATCTCATTGATTTTAGCTAACGTTCGATCAAAAAAGAATATTGCCTTAGCCATTGCGTCATCAGGTATTGCAGCAACACTTTTAGATGGAGGCAGAACTGAGCATTCTGCACTCAAATTACCATTGAAAACTCAATTTTCTAAAGATTATGCATTTAATGTTAAGAAAAATAGGCAGTGGTTATGTGAGCGTGCTTTACTGGCACCCAAAAATATTGACGTTAATTGTATCAATAATATTATTTTGAATAGAATCGATGTTATTTTAAAAACATATAAATCCATCGATACTGTTACAAATAGTGATGATGTCGCCAATTATCCTGTAGAATTTTTGAATACACTTGATTAACCAGGCTTTCCACTCCACGAACTGAAGTTGAAAATTGGCGTTCGAATTATTTTATTGCGAAATATTGATCCACCACGTGTTTGTAATGGTACTCGATTAACAGTTAAGAAATTAATGAACAACTTAATCGAAGTAACGGTCTTACTACCTCGGATCCCAATGACAACATCGGAAATGCCATTCGACTTACTACCTCGGATCCCAATGACAACATCGGAAATGCCATTCGACTTTAAACGGTTGCAATTTCCTATACATTTGGCATTCACGATGACAATAAACAAATCTCAGAGTCAATCCCTGCAAGTGTGTGGAATAAATGTCGAAAATTCATGCTTCTCACATGGTCAGCTTTATGTTGCATGCATGCGAGTTGGGAACCTTC